ACTAGTGACTACTCTTAATAAATTTTTATTCTATTTATCTTGGCGACGGTGGTGGAGTAAAGGGTGTCTCTTCATAATTTCGTACGTATTCATTTCTATTGGGTGTCCTATATCTAACTATTCTGACGGGTAATTCCATGACTTCTGTGATCCTGATATACTTGTATTTTATCATTATATAAATATTAAATTGCTAGTATAATAGATATTGATGCTAGTACTATAACAAATTACTGTGTACAAATTATATTTATATTAAACTAATAAAATATCTTATTATATTCTTATAAAATTAAAACCATCTTACATAATCCGTTATATCTCTAGTATCGTGCAAATATCTCATATAATCTATTAATCGTTTACATGTGGGTGTCACTGGATCTGATGACATAATTAGAGTTAGAATTCGCGTAATTTTCGTTATTTCGAGAGTATTAAATGGTTCTTCCATACAATTATTCGCGGTATTAATATGTCCTATTAAACACCTCGGCGTGTGTTCCGGTCCTAAGGTATTTGTTTCATGGATTTCTTGTTCAATCGCCTTTCCTAGTTCCACAATGAATTTTCTTTGTCTGTTCCTAAAATTAAAATTAATTTTTATCGTATTTATTTTATTTATTATTATTTTGTATTATTTTCTTTTAAATTGGTTGTATCGTGATTTCATTTATTATTTCTTTCTCTGGTTACAAAAATGAATGTTCTGTTTCTATCCCTAAAATTAATATAATTATTCTAATTTAATATTGCTATATACTTATTATTTTTTGTTTTTGCTATTTTTTTTTTTTTTTAATCAACTTGTGCGTCATTATAATATTTTTTTACGTTATTTCTATGTACAGTGATGACCTTGCGGCCTCGCTGTATAGCTACATTCTCGTTCCCTATAACTGCTGTGACCTCGTACGGTCCTAGCCAGATTGGATCGAGTTTCGTTCTATGATTATTATCTTTTAATAGTACTAAATCATTAACGTGTAGTCCTTGTGGATTTTCATTTTTATCATAACGTTCTTTACTTTTTATTTTATTTTTAATTAAATGATCTCTAGCTATCTTATGCGAAATTTGCATATTTTCTTTTAGATCGAATATATAATCATCATAATTGTAACGTGGTTCAGGTTCGGCTTTTAATCTAATCGGTACCTCCAACGTACGTCCATAGACTAATGCGTATGGTTGAAAATTAGTAGAAGTATGTACCGTTGAATTATATACAAAGAATGCAAAGGGTAGTAAATGGTCCCAATTATTTAAATTCTTATCTACATAATGTCTTAAGTACTCGGCTAAAGTCCTATGAGCGCGTTCTACGGGGTTACCCTGCGGTCTGAATGGACTTGTGTTAACCTTTTCTATTTTTAATATTTTACAAGCATTTGCAAACGTTTTCAAGAGGAAATTAGTTCCTTGATCCGTGAGTATTGTTTCTGGTATGCCGTGTACACAAACGAAGTGTGTAACAAAGGCTTCCGCAACAGTATTTGCCTTCTGGTCAGGAAGTGGAATTCCTAAAGTGTAACGTGTCAAATCGTCCTCCATCGTTAAAATGTATACATTATTGGACAGTGTAATCGGCAAGGGCCCTACTATATCCATAAATATTTTTTCGAATGGTTTAGACGAGGTGGATGTAATAGCCACTGGTTGTTTTATGTGCCGATTTGATACCTTATTAACCTGACATAACGTACGATTCCTTATATATTATTTAACATCTTTTTTTTTTTTATACCCTTCCATAAGAATTGTTTTTTAATGCGCTTAATGGTTTTATTCACACCTAAATGTTCGCCTAGTTTTGAGTCGTGAAATTGTGATAAAATGACTGCTTTTTCTTCTTCACTATATTCTACATTCGCACATGTAATTATTGTATTTTTTTTTTTTTTTGAGAAATTTTTCATATGATTCCGAGATATTCAACATGCTAACTATTGCCCTACCATTATTAACGATTGATACTGTACTACTGCAATATACGTTTTTTACTAGTTCTTGCTTATGTATAAATATTTCTTTGCTTTCTATGAGTGGGTCAGCTATCTGTATTCCTACAATAGTTTCAGTCCGCGGATTTAATTTAATAAAACTGGTTTTGTCGGTCTCCTTGAAATTTGTTAGCGCATGCGAGGTCGTTTGAATAATTAATTTGTTGTTTGCTACATCGACTATTGCGTTATTTTTCGACAAGAACTCGTTTCCTAATATTCCGTCCTTGGGTATTGGAAATCGTGCACTTACGATATGAAATTCTGTTTTAATGTTTTCGCTATCTAATTTAATTAATATTGATATTTTCCCTATGGTTTTTGTAAGACATTCATTTATACCGCGTAGATTTATTTTTTGCGTTTCGTCTACTTCTAGTTCTTCGCGTAAGCAATTTATTTTGAGAATATTTACCTGACTACCTGTATCTATCATTAAATGTAATTGATTTGTTTTTGCGGCATTAGAATCGAATGTTATATGATTATTTTCTAGTTTTGCGAATATGTGAAATATTCGTTCGTCGGTTGTTCCGCGATAATCTGGTTTATCGTACGAGTACCGCGCCTCTCGTTCGACACGTTTTCGTTTTCCGAATTATTAACGTTCCTACTCTCATCGTTTCTCTTTTTATAACACGAGTCGATATTATGACCAGTTCGATTACAGTATGAACACGTAACTACCTGTATATTATAATTCGTAAGTGGTTGCGTAAAATTATTCCTATCAGGTGGACGGTTGTTATTGCCATTGCTCGCATAACTAGGTCTCGTATTATTCCTACATTGAGATGCAAAATGATTACCATTACAATTATAGCATTTTATTGCTGGCCTATTGATTGGTTGAGAAAAATTGTTTGCTCGCGGATGATTATTTGTCCTTACAGGGTTATTTGGTCTAATGTTTTCGTTGTTCCTATTTTCGTAATTCGATCTGCGCTGGTTATAATTTTGTGAATGAATATTCGAATAATGGTTTCTATTTTCCTGTTCTAATCTTAGTTCTACTTGTTCTGACATGGCGATTTGTTTCGCGATTTCCAGAGTTTTAGTATTGCGAGATTTTACTATTGTTCTAATCGGTTCTACTAATCCTTTAATAAATATCGCTAGAGTTTGTTCCCTTAATATATCATATATAATTTTTGCTTCTGCAGGTTCTTTGCCTAATGTACTTACGGTACATAACTGATAATATAGTTTCTCTACTCTATGGCAATAATCGTTTACATCCTCATCGTGATTTATTCTAATCGAATTTAATTGAAGTTGTAACGACGATGCCGTAGTTGTTACCTCAAATGCATCTGTTAAATAATTTTTTATAAACTGCCATTTCGATACATTTTTGTATTTAATCATTTCTAATGCTCTACCCGTTAAACGTGTGGTAATATATTTTACTAGCGTTGGTGCACTGTTTGTGTCGACTAAACTTACTGCCATATGGCATGCATTTATGAATGGATAGATATCGTCTATTCCTGTGCATAGTGGAATTAATTTAAAAGCGTTTTCTAATTTTATGGTTACTGTCATTTTTTTTTTTTTTAGTGCTTGTTATAGGTAAAAATACTAATGACTGGTGTTCAAAACTATCTGTAACTTGGCTACGTGTGATTACTCCTGGACTTGGGTTTCTACTTGCGCTATCTCCTAACTGGGTATCTACTATAATATTCAACTGGGCTTTAAACTGGGCTTGGGCTTCTCTGGGCTAATAACTGGGCTTCTAACTGGGCTTCTTCTAATACACTAGTGTCATACAATGAATTAATTACTTTCAAGGGAGATGTACCTTCTTTGTCCATAAATTAACTTAACCACCTATTTAATACGTTAGTAATCATAATAATACTCAATAAAATTCAATAATGCCCTATAAATACAATAATAACTTTAATAATATGCCCTCTAATAAATTCAATAAACTTCAATAATACTTCAATAATAAAAATGCCCTCAATAATCAATAAACTTCAATAATAATCAATAATAACTTCAATAAAATATGCCCTCAATAATAAAACTTCAAATAATCAATATGCCCTCAATAATTCAATAAACTTCAATAATAATCAATAAAATATGCCCTCAATAAAATTTAAAACGGTTTACACCATTACACTTATAATCAACTACCTAGATTTATCTTAATATGTCTTAATTATGTTGCATACGTCTATGTAACAAATTTAAATAACTATTCACTCACAATAATGCTGCGTTCATGGCTGATGATGACATGTTGCCGTTGATGATGCTGCTAATGGATTTGTTGGTACTGCAATGTGACTTATTTGTTTTTTTTTTGTTGGTTCCTCCTGGAGTTGTCTTCGCCAAAGAGTGATCAATTCTTCGTTGTTGACAGTAGCCTTTGATGGTTGCCTCCTTTTGGAATCCTACCGACTGCGCCAGTGTTACATGCGGCCCTTCAGGGATCCAAAAGCTGGTGTACTTGATAAATAATAATAGTCAAATTAGTATGATAATCAAATGTAATATATTAAACCAGGCAAAACAAGCAGAATAATAGTGTTGATTGTAGTGAATTTGTAGCTCGTTCCGAAGTTGATAATCTCCGTGTAAGTCGTGTGTGATGGCTGGGCGGCTAAGCGAGACGTGTGGTGTTCTCGTCTCTGGATACATCTAACTCAGGCTGTCTCGCTGTCCCCTATATATATGGTGGCGGCGACCTTTGAAAGTGAGCGGCGCGTGTACAGTTGTCCTTGATATGGACCTCACGGCTATGAAAGTGGTATTCGTAGTCGAAAACACTTTTGGGTGTGGTCGCATTCCTGGTTGTTATTATGAGCAAAATATATAATATTGCGTAGTCCCATTACAACGTGCGTCTGTATAAAACGGCGTTCAAAAGTAAATTTTGATTAATATACACGAAATACAAACCACGTGAGTATATATAAACTGGCGTTACCTAACTCAATTGATCACTTAATTATAAAACTTTTTTCATTAAAAATTTTTAATATGACAATCGAGTTTTTAAACGTGAATGGGGAAATGGTATCTCACATCGTTGTACCTATTACAGGAGATAGTGCCTGTTTATTTAATTCGTGTTTATTTAATGTCTTGAGGATTCGTTTTACACAAAATCTCTCTAGGGGCCATTTTGATGTCTACCTGCTTAATGAGTCAGAAATATTGATCCCTCAGAGAGACTCCACATTACAGCAATCACCTTTCTCTTTATCCCTGAAGAAGGGTAGAAAACGCCGTGCCAGATACAATGGCAATATAAGAAAAAAACAACTTCAAAACGCAGCAAAGACATATGCACTTCGTAATCCTTTAGTGAACAGATCTGCAGTTGCCAGGTACCAGCTAGATAATCCTGAGGTGGGCAGAGCTGCTAGGTCTCGATATGAGCATACTAATCCTCGCCGGAAAGTTGAAAGACTGACACTTCCATGGAAAATAATGGTCAACTCAGGAATGACGTACAATCCTGACCTGGCTTATGAGTAAGAAAAAACTATAACTCTTGGTTCTATGAACCACAAGTGCAAATACTGCAATGCTCTAAAATGGAAAGAAGAAACCCCCGGAATATGCTGAAATAATGGCAAAGTGCAGCTTCCATCTTTTGAACATTTGCCGGAACCTTTCAACAGCCTGTTTATGGACAGACACCTCCATCATAATCATTTTATGGACCTTATACGAAAATACAATGGGTGTTTTCAAATGACATCATTTGGGGCTAAAAAAATTGTAACAGAAGTATTTATGCCTACTTTCAAGGTTCAAGGCCAGGTGTATCATTTGGTAGGGAGTTTCATGCATAAACCTGATCAGAATGCCCAATTCTTACAAATATATTTTGTAGGTGAGGATGAGAGGGAAGTACGCTCAAGGTACGCCAGTTTTCCTGATGTCAAACCAGGGTTGGTAAAATTGCAAAGCACATCTCTGAAAAAAACAGTTATGTCAAACAATTTAAAACCACGATTAATGCGGTGCAAAAGAACCGTGAAGAATTTAAAGTGGTCATCCGTGCAGACAGAAAACCCACTTATGCTCATGTTGGTCGTTTTAACGCACCAACACAAAATGAAATAGCTCTGATAATTGAAAGTCAGCAATTTGAAAATAGAGACATCGTACTTCAAAGTCACGATAATAAACTACAGCGTATCAGTGAAATTCATCGACCATACGACGCTCTGCAGTATCCACTTATGTTTTGCCATGGCGAGGACGAATACTCTATTGACATACCATTGTGTGATCCCACTACGAAATTGCCTCTTGAAAAAAAAGTTTCTGCGGCATCCTTTTATGCTTACCGAATTATGATTAGGCAAGATGAAGTTAACCATATTGTATATTTCCGCTCCCTCTTCAGTCAATTTTTGGTCGATATATACGCAAAAATTTAAACTGAAAGTTTGAATTTTATTAGGAATCATCAGAAACAGCTAAGAGCTGAGAACTATATTCTTCTCAAAGATGCTGTGGGGAGCAATGATGTTAATGCAACTGATCTAGGTCAAATGGTAGTACTTCTTTCATCATTTACGGGCGGACCTAGGCATGAACGAACTCAAGATGCCATGACATATGTCCGCGTGCATGGTCACCCTGATCTATTCATCACATTTACATGTAACCCTACTTGTAAAGACATCATAGATGCACTGTTTTCTGGACAAAAGCCGCACGATCGTCATGACATTATAGCGAGAGTATTTCATATTAAAGTAAAGAAATTAATGGCACTCTTGACTAAAGGAAAATTATTTGGTGACGTACGGCGCTATATGTATTCTGTGGAGTGTCAAAGGCGAAGATTGCCTCACGTTCACATCTTACTGTGGCTACAGAATCGAATTCATCAAACATAATTGATAATGTCATCAGTGCCGAAATACCAGACCCCGAGCAAGATCCTCTTTTATATGACATCGTCAAAAGTAACATGATCCATGGTCCCTGCAGCAGCTTAAACCCTAATGCTCCTTGCATGAAAGAAAATACATGCAGTAAAAGATACCCTAGAAAACTTTGCCGAGAAACACAGACATTAGACGATGGATACCCAGAGTACAAGAGGAGGTCTACAAATGACGGTGGTTTCACTGTAAGAATTAAGGGACTTGATTTAGACAACCATTGGGTTGTGCCTTACAACCCAGTCTTCTTAAGTACTTTCAATTGTCACATCAATATAGAGATGTGTCATTCTGTTAAGTGTATTAAGTACATCTGTAAGTATGTAAACAAGGGCAGTGACCAAGCAGCGTTTACGATAGAAAACCAGAAGGATGAGATTACAATGTACGAAAGTAGTAGGTATATTAGCAGTGCCGAAGCAGTATGGAGAATATTATAATTTTCCATTCATGAAAGATATCCTACGGTTTTTCATCTAGCCGTCCACCTTGAGAATGGTCAGCGAGTATACTTCACCCCTAATAACTTGGCAGAGAAGCTCAACAATCCTACTAAGACTACGCTTTTAGCATTTTTCGAGTTATGCAAAACTGACATTTTCGCAAAAACCCTCCTTTATTCGGAAGTGCCTTCTTACTTTGTATTCAAGAATAATAAGTTTCGAAGAAGGAAGCAGGGAAGGAATGTAGATGGCTGGCCGACCGTAAAGAAGGACGATGCATTAGGAAGAGTGTATACTATCCATCCACACAATACTGAATGCTACTATCTTCGTATGCTTCTTCATAAAATTAGAGGACCAACATCTTTTTCAGACCTAAAGACTGTTAATGGTATCCTCCATAATACATTCCAATCTGCCTGTAATGTGTTAGGTTTGCTTGAAGATGATAATCACTTTAATAATACGTTAAATGAAGCTTCTTTGAGTGATTCTCTTTCCAAGCTGCGTGAACTATTTACAGTTATGTTAGTATTTTTTCAACTATCGGATCCCTTAACTCTTTGGGATACACATAAAAACAATCATTCAGAGGATATTATAAGACAAATGGATGCTGACCAAAAAGATGAGGCTCACAACAAATGTTTGATACAAATTGAAGATGCAGTGCTTGCTGTAGGAGGTCAGAGTATATCAAATTATGGGCTACCTCAGCCAACAAGGACAGAAAATAACTTTGAAAACATAGTCTATCAGAGAGAGATAAGCTACGACCTGAATACCTTAACAAAGGTAGTAGTGAGCAACGAGGCCTTACTGACGAACGAGCAATACAATGTCTATAGTCGGATAATGCACAGCATTAAATCTGATGCTGGAAAAATTTTTTTCTTAAATGCTCCTGCAGAAACAGGAAAAACTTTTCTTATAAACTTGCTTTTGACAAAAGTAAGGAGCAATCGTAGTATTGCTTTGGCTGTTGCATCTTCTGGCATTGCTGCTACGCTTTTGGAGGGGGGGAGGACAGCCCAACATTCAAACTTCCTCTCGATCTCATTAACATAGAAACGCCAATGTGTAATATACCAAAACAAAGTAATATAGACAAAGTGCTTCGCAATTGTAAGTTTATTGTTTGGGATGAAAGCACTATGACGCATAAAAGAGGTTTTGAGGCACTTGATAGATCTCTTAAAGATATAAGAAATAAAAATGAAGAGATGGGAGGAGCTACTGTTCTTTTAACTGGAGACTTTAGGCAAACTCTACCAGTTATACCAAGAGGAAGTCGAGCAGATGAAGTTAAGGCTTGCATAAAAGCTTCTTATTTATGGCCGTTAATAGAAGGTGATGTCACAGCTGGAAAATTCTCTGAACTTCTACTCAAAATAGGAAATGGATATTTTCCCGAGTTAGCTGGGAAGTTGGTTATCACTAAGGATTTAGGTTTAGTAGTGACAACACTACAAGAACTTATAGTTCAAATTTATCCTGATATTGCCGATATAAAAAACAAATCGATGGATTGGTTATGTGAGCGCGCTATTTTGACCTCTAAAAATGACAATGCAGCTGTGATTAATGAAATTCTTCTTAAATCATTTAAGGGAACAGAAATAGAGTATAAGTCTATAGACATGGTACTGAAAGACAGATGACACAGTTCACTATCCTGTGGAGTTCCTCAACGCACTTAATCCCCCTGGCTTTCCAGCACATAAGTTAGTCCTTAAAGTAGGAGCTCCAATTATGCTGTTGCGAAATCTCCACCCACCCAAACTCTGCAATGATACTCGACTGTGCATGAAAGCACTCCAAAACAATGTAATTGAGGCAATTACAGGTTGTGCTCAAGGAGAATCAACGTTTATACCACGTATACCACTTTTATCATCAAACTATCCATTCGAATTTAAAAGACTGCAGTTTCCTATCAAGGTATCTTTTGCAATGACTATAAATAAGTCGCAAGGGCAGTCGTTGAAGATAGCAGGGATTGACTTGAGTGATGACTGCTTTACACATGGGCAATTTTATGTGGCATGCTCCAGAGTTAGTTCCCCTACAAGCTTAGTCATTCTTGCCCCAATTGGAAGAACAACCAATGTAGTTTATAAGGAGGTGCTATAATAATAATAAAAAAATAATAACAATATTCACATCCTATAAATAAATGTTATCAATGAATCTAATAGTGCTATAACAATTAACACACACACACACACACAAACAATTAAATTGTGAATTTCACGTAATATTAGTACCATCAATACAATTAAATTAAACACTAACACACGGCCTATGAAAATTCCAAAAGGGAAACTAGCACACGAGCAATGCCGTGTCGGGTTATAAATATATCATAATAAATATATCATAATATTAAAGTAATATTTAATATTATATTGTGAATAATTAGACAGCTATTTGAGCTGGTGCAGCGTTATTATTAAATTGATGTTATAGGTAATGAGAGCGTTTTTAAGTCCATGATAATATTGAAGGGTACAACCCTTACAAAATTACAATGAAGACAGTGTCATTTCGCACACGTGATACGAAATATGGATATAGTGAATGTGTATTACAATATATTAGCGGTGTTTAGAGTGCAACATAAAATAATAATATTAATAAAAAAAGTACACATAGATGAGCGCTGTTGTATCATGCATAATAATATATAAAAAATATTGTTAACAAGGTTAAGTAAACATTCATATGTAACAGGTAAAATACCAAAACAAATCAAATCATACAATACTCAATAAGCTAAGTAACAACATAGAAACAATTATGCATTCCACCAAAATTAGGATAAGATATCAAATATTATGTAATAAATAATAATTAGTATAATTTTAAGCATAGTCAGTAAATATAATGCAACTAATTTAAACTTAATGTCAATACAACTGTTACGACACATCGTAATTACATTATCGTCCGCGTCGCAGCGACCAAAGGTCCACGACTGAACCCCCGCAAGCTCCGCGTGCCCGTGCGGAAATCGATGTTATCTCCTTTCCTCTCCGAGCAATGCGCCATTAAAATTATTACTCCTATCTACTATTCCTTCCTATTATCATTATTTAAATTAATTATTATGTACAATTGATATCGTTGT